GATTCTACTTTTTGTAAACAGTAAATGAGTACATATACATGTGTGCACATATGTAAATTTGTTTTGTACACATAAGCTAGAAAAATATATGAAAATATATCATATACTCTGTTAATGTACTTACTTTTTGTGGTACCAGGAATTGAGCCCAGGACCCTTACACTAGGTTACATTTGTAAGCTATTTTTTAAAAATGTTTTTTGAGAGCGGGTCTCTCTAAGTTGCTCAGGCTGGGCTGGAATATGCAGCCCCCCCGCAATTGTTGAGATTATTAGTGTGTACCACCCTGCCTATGTATTTGTTTGCTCTTAATATGAGGGAATTAGGAAGGCAGAACAGCAAGAGTCCTTCACTACTTTTTGCTTATTTTGTTTGTGTTTGAGATAGTTTCTTGCTGTGTAGTTTAGTCTGGTCTTGAACTCTCTAAGTTCCCCAGTTTGGGCTCTAACTTGTGATCTTCCTGCCTCAGTCTCTTGAGTGATGAGATTACAGGCAGGTGCCACTCTTACTATTTTTTATACTTTTGTAATGTTTGGATTTTAAAAATATGGATATATAATTTTTGTGATGAAGAATTTTTATATGATTAATGTTTTAAAATTTCTAGTTTTGATGCAATAATTGTAAACACTTCTCTTTGGCTCCCTCACTAGATGGTGAACTGCTCTAGGGCAGAACCTTGTTTTCTTTCCTATTCACAATAAAGTTGATTGGTTGGCTCTGCACAGAGCACTGCAGAGTACGCAGGCTTCATGCAGTGCGGTGACAGCTTGGGATGTATGATTCAGAAAGACACTTCCCTCTGAAGAAGGGAGGCAGTGGGGGCGTGATCAGAGGTACCCCTGATCAACTCTGGACTTCCTGAGATGGGCAAGGGGGTGCTAGAGTGTGCTCCTGAATAGTAGCCATACAGGAAAATAAAATGGCGAGGATCGGGGAGGCTGGAGGCAGAAAGATGAGCTGAAACATTGCACCTGTAACAATGCAGCTGCAAGGTGGTAAGCACATAGACTGAGGTTGGCATGGAATCCATCCTCCTCCCTTT